TCACGAATGGCCCATCAACTCCATGAAGATGCGGGCGTACCTTTGGGGGCATGCGGGCACCAAGAATTGAAAAAATTTCAAGACTTCCTAGCACCAGACTACCAATTGAAAGTGATGGCAACTTCCTACCCCTACATGATGGTATTTGTAGGCCCAGAAGCACCGCATATTATCCGCCTCTTGCTCCAGAAACACGATGACTCTGAGGCTGGTCACTATGACACTTGCACATCTTACGCTGGTTTTCTAGAACGATCCTATTTTTGTGATCAGTGCAACAAGGGATTTGATCATAATGACTTCAGACATCATCCATGTGAGGGTCGAAGATGTCATGCATGCAAACAAGTAGAATGTGGCGCAAAACCTGATTATGCCTTACGTGAAGTACCCTGTTATTCTTGTTGCCGAAAGTTTTACAGTCAGACGTGTTATGACATGCATAAAGAGAAAAAGATCTGCGACAGCCTTGTTCAGTGCCCTATGTGTCGTAAGGAGTTTCAAACCTCAGCGTCAAAAGAACCTCACCAATGCTACTTTGACAAATGCTCCGTATGCCATGAATATGTAAAACTTACAGAACACAAATGCTTTATTCAACCTGTGGCAGCCAAAGAAGATCAAAGAAAGAAAAAAACCAAAGCAACCCTGAACTGCCATAGAAAAAAAAATCCCTTGGCCTCGGTGTATGAAGAACCTCCCATCTTCGTCTATGCTGATTTTGAATGATAGCGGTAGATAACACACACATCCCCGTATTGGTCTGCGTCCTCACCTCTGAAGATGATACCTTCGAAACCTACTACGGGGAGAATTGCACGGCCGACTTTCTGAACTTTCTCACCCAGCTCAACGAGGACGAATATGGCGACCCACGCGAGGTGATATGCATTTTCCATAATTTAAAGGGGTACAATTCTATGTTTCTACAGCATCAGTTGGTAAAGGAAGAAAGAAAGATCGAGGACATCATCGCCATAGGCACTAAATGGTTATCCTTCAAAGTGGGTCAAATCACATTCAAAGATTCGTTCAGCTTCCTCCCGATGTCACTCTCAGCCTTTACCAGTACCTTTGGTCTCACGGAACTCAAGAAAGGTTTCTTTCCTCACCTGTTCCACACACCTGACCATCAAGATTATGTGGGAGCCCTGCCAGCAGCCCCCCTATTACGACCCAGAAAGTATGTCCAATTCTAAAAAAAAAAGAATTTCAAGTCTGGTATGAAGAACAAGTGAAAAAGCAAGACCCATTTGATCTCAAGCAAGAACTCAGAGCCTACTGCCAATCAGATGTCGCCCTTCTTAAAGCCGGCTGTCTTAAATTTGTGAATGAATTCCAGTCCACGTCTGGGTTTGATCCGATGGAAAAATGTGCCACGATTGCGTCAGCATGCAACAGATATTGGCGTAAAAAACATCTTTCCAAGGACACTGTGGCCGTTGAACCTGTAAGAGGATGGCGTGGGGCCATCAATCAATCAGAAGTTGTATTAGAATGGTTGATGTGGCAGGAACATCAGCTTGAATCAGACAGCCCACGTATCCAACATGTTTGTAATGGTGGGGAGAAGTTGATACCCGCAGGGCCCGAGGCATACCATGTCGATGGTTTTGATAGCCACACAAACACTGTGTATGAATTTCATGACTGTTTGTTTCACGGGTGCAGACGTTGTTATAAAGACCGCAAGAAAATGGCGTTTTCATCAGGCAGCTACACGATGGAAGCCTTGTGTCAGCAGACGGAAGACAAATGTCAGACACTCCGACAGTTGGGGTATAAAGTGGTTCAAATCTGGGAATGTCAATGGAAGGAGCAGAAAAAGGCCTCAAAGGAAATTCAAGATTTTCTCAAGGAAATCAATCTTGTACCACAGCTCAATCCGAGAGATGCGTTTTTTGGAGGTCGAACTGGGGCGGCGTCGCTTTATTACAAGGCCAACACAGATACGTCGACGTCACCTCAGAATATCCCTATGTAAACAAATACGGCACCTACCCCATGGGTCACCCCGAAATCTTTTTGGAACCAGACGACCAAGATCCAGCCTCCTACTACGGTATATTGACAGTGGACATTTTACCGCCTTATAATTTATACAATCCCGTATTGCCTCTTCGACATGGAAAAAAACTGACGTTTCCATTATGTCGAAAATGTGTGGAAGATGAAAGTGCCAAACCGATGTTGGGAAGAAATTATTATTGTAGTCATGGTGTGGAGGATCGCATGCTCACCGGTACTTGGTGTACGCCCCAAATCATGAAAGCTGTCGGAAAAGGGTATCAGGTTCTTCGCATACACGAAGCATGGCATTTCCCACCAGACCAAAGGAAGCAAGGTCTGTTTGCTCCGTACGTAGACACCTGGTTGAAGATAAAACAAGAAAGTAGTGGTTACCCCAGCTGGGCACAAACGGACGCGCAAAAAGAAGATTATGTTAAAAATTACAAGGCAAGAGAAGGGATAGACTTAGACCCCCAGCACATCAAGAAAAATCCAGGAAGAAAGGCCACTGCCAAACTAATGCTGAGCTTCTTTTGGGGAAAGTTTGGCGAACAAATGAACAAGATGAAAACCAAGCAAATCACAGAACCACACGAGCTGATTGATCATTGAAATGACACAACGATTAAAATATCAGACGTACGCATTTTGAGTGCTGATGTGATTGAATTGGCGTATAAGAAGATAGAAGAGGATGCAGTAAAGGGGTCCAAGACCAACATATTCATAGCAGCATTTACCACCTGTCAGGCCCGTCTTAAGCTTTATGAATCTTTGAAGGCGCTGGGCGATCGAGTCTTGTATTATGATACAGACTCGGTCATTTACACCTGGAAGCCAGGTCAAACAGAAATTCCCTTAGGTGATTACCTTGGCGATATGACCAATGAATTGGATGAAGGGGATTACATCATGGAATTTGTGTCAGGGGGTGCCAAGAACTATGGGTATGCGACGAAACATGGGAAAATCGAATGTAAAGTTCGTGGCTTTTCCCTAAACGTGCGTGGTGCCAAACAGCTTAATTATCAGGTCATGAGGCAAAATATTTTGGATGAAATTTTTGACCCGCAGGACGAAAGAAGAGACACTGACATTGTGAACCCGAGACATTTTAAGCGTGATCCAATTGCCAAGAAGATTAAGACAGAAACACAAGTCAAAAAATATGGTTTGGTATTCGACAAGCGGGAACCTCATGAAGGAACAATTAAATCATATCCCTACGGATATGCCCAGTTTACAGGATTCGATGCACAAGACATTTTAAACATTGAAACACTTATACGAGAGACATTCAAGCCAAGACACTTTAGCGTTTTTTTCCCTTTTTATTATTTTACAATGCCAAGAAGATTAAGACAGAAACACAAGTCAAAAAATATGGTTTGGTATTCGACAAGTGGGTACGTCATGTAAGAACATTTAAATTGTATTCCTACGGATATGCCCAGTTTACAGGATTCGATGCACAAGACATTTAAAACATTGAAACACTTATATGAGAGACATTCAAGCCAAGACACTTAAGCGTTTTTTTCCCTTTTTATTATTTTTAAATACAACAGTTTAAATTGTTACAATTTAAATCACGTGTCTTTGTCATCCTTACAAGCGTTTCATTCCCTCTGTGATATTATCTATCCATTTTCTAAGAAAGGCTGTTCTTTGATCTACCCTGCGAATCATTTCTTGTAGTTCCTTTCAATATTGTCTTGCCACTCGTGAAGTGAAGGACATTTGCAAGTAAGTGGATGGAATGGACATTTTCCTCCTCTGTCCTTTCCTGAGCGGCGGCATCCATGCGTTAACGTACGCGTCTAAAATGAAGTGTGACGATAGAAGCGCCGTCTGTAAACTGAGCCAAATTATTATTTTCCGACTCACTTATCTGTGCTTCCACCACATCGATGTGATTCTTACGTAACTTGATGTAATGAATCTGCTTGGGTTCGTAATAATAATTTCCTTCCAAGATTGGTTGGTAGTGTATTTGACGTATAAGATCAGTCGTCTGATCTCCCACGCGTACTGGAGCACAAAGCGAGGAATACATATACAACGTTCGTGGGTAAGGTTAATTTAAGTAGGTACTTCTCTTAGTATTGATAAAGGTCCAGTTCAGATCGCTAAGAAGAAATCTATGAGATTTCTCCGCAAATCAGTCTTTCCATGGGATCTCATATCTGTAATACGCCAAACTGGATGTAGTAAGCCTCCTATCATAACTCCACACCGTACCACGTTTGGTCACTGTGAGATTATGCGCCGGTCGTGATACATTACGATTCTCTTCAATAGGACCACTAACAATACGACGATAACGCACTGTTGTTTTTTTCGTCCAAACAAACAACTCACACATGTCTCGAGGTAACTCAAAATAGAGACCGTCACGAACTTCTTGATGAGTTATATCAGTCGATTTTACCTTGTCTGCTGTCACAGTAATCGTTTCTTTATCCTCATCCGCTATCACTTCAAATTGTGCGCTGTGTCCTGAAGAAAAATGACTCCCAACGCCGAGCCCATATTCATAATACATTTTAAACGTTCTTCATCAAACAACGATTTGAGTAAATCGTGAACTGTCTCGATACGATGTTGTTTGATGTCTCCATACGTGACATTGTAAGTCACTTTATGTTGTATATCCCCAGTGGCTACTTTAATTCGTCCTGTGGTTAGTAAGACATCATCGTCTTTTAATCCTTTGAGGTAACTGGACACCTTAGAATCGTGTGGAAGCGAAATACTACTAAATCCCACTTCCCACTCTCCTTCTAAATCGATGCATTTGTCTAATCGATTTTTCCAAGAATTGTTTTTGTTGTCTGGAAAATATTTCAGACTCTCATCGTTACTGGGTAACGTCAAGTAAAAAGTATTACCTGACATGATGTGCTCTCGATAACGACACAACTACGAATGAACCGGAGACACACACTGTGTTGCATTTTCACAAGTTTTATTTCATCATTGTAGAGGCGTTACAATTTTTTTTTAAGTTTAGCTTGCATGATTCGCTTCACAATTTTCTCGGTTAAACTCTTCTTGCCTGGAAACTTATCGATTCCGGCTACCATCTTACGATCTGCAATATGTTTGTCAGCGAGTGATTTAGCTTTACTGTAATCAATATCGTGCTGTTTGGCTAATCTATCAAGACAATTAATTCCTGGATCACCACGTTTTAATCGCTTGGCTAATTTTGTACCTGGACCCGTATACTGGTATCCGGGCCAATGAAACTCGACACCTAACTTTGAAATCCATTTCTGAATATCAAATTTTCCTCCTCTCTGTCGTTTCCTTTTAGCCTTAGCTTGGACGGTTCTTGCCCCTCCCTTTGCCTTTCTTCGACTTTGGCGTTTCGTCATCTTCAAACACTTGATACGGGTCGTAACCTCTCTTTTCCCAAGGTTCCCAGTTACCAAATTCTTTGAGTCATTCCAACTCCGTGCAATGCTTTTGCGGTGTGGGAACAGGAAGTTTTCGTTTCGTTTTTTGTATCTTTTGGGATGGAGCTGTGAGAAAAGGAATATTGGACGTTCACGGTTTCGCAGGGGTGACGAGTTCGTTCTTGATCCCCACAGGTGTGACAGGTTCCCTCTTGAGTGTCATCTAAGGTACAGCGGCTTGTCCCCTCATATTTATGGATTTAATGAGTTCTTTTAACAATCCCTCTTGCAACCCCTCCATGAGATTACCATCATCGTCTCGAGGTGGAGGTTCTACACCACCAGCGATAGGAATCTGTCTCAATTTGTCAGTAAGCTTGCGTTCTTGCATTAACAATTCTTTTACCACAGGTTCTTTTAAAGCAGCAGGAGTAGATGTATCTTCTAATAGCAGTTTTGCTTCGGCGGCCACGCGTGCGGCTTTGTCCAGAAGAGTACTTTCAGTAATTTTTCCCTTGTAATAATCTACCAAAGCTCGAAACTCATCGGGTTTCACCATTAGGAACGTCTCCATAATCGCCACAAGGGTTCCACCACATGTATACGCAACCACCGAAACAGTTGAGCTATTGTGAGTCTACACTCGGTTGAATCCTTATAGTCACTGTCGTCGTCGTCGTAGTTGAATTGCAAATCAAACTTTATACCCGTGTCCACTTCGTTTATACCCTCTTGCACGGTGACAGTCATGATCTCTTGAAACACTGAGAGAACGCGTCGTTCATACCACTCCAAAAGCTACCGCCTGTTTGATTCACAAGTAATTGACGCCGCTTTCTTAAAGAGTTCCTCCGTTTACCCAACTCTCTCAACATCACTCTATATTTCTTGAGTTTGGCAACGTTGGGCGGTGATAAAGGTATCTTTTTCTTCAACATGTTCAACGTGAATTCACTGACGGCATTGATTTGATCTTTACTAGCGTGAAGTAATTTTTCCATACGACGCTTTCTATTTTTCTCTTGTAAAATAGATTTTAAAAAATCCACCTTTCTCTTGAAACTATTAATCATCGCTTTTTCTTTGTAAGAGCTTCTAGGCCTTTTCTAGCCCCAAACGATGCAGCTCCTCCAAGGGCACTTAAACCCAATGCTTTACCTCCAGCAATGAGGGCTGGAATGAGTGCCGCTAATGGCAATAACCTCCTTTTTGTCCTCTTTTGGTTAGTCTTCTTTTCACTCTTCTTCTCCATCGGGTTGTGGGCATACTGCGCTTATAAACAGGCATCTTTCTTATTTATTTCTCTCTGTAACAGCGTACACACCCTTCGTGTCGTAACAAGTGACTTAAAAGTCTCATAGAATCTCTACTTGCAGGGTTTACGGCAAGTAACAAATAACTATAGGGTCTTTCCATACATGCATTATATATATCCATGACAGGTAGCCACTTGGTCGGGTATATCTGTAGCAGTAAGGTGTGCAATGCCACTTTATCTCTAGGATTTTTAAAGGCAATAATGTATTGCGCATTCTTAGAGATGGTCTTGGTATATTTTCCTTGAGGGAACATGTCTTGGCAGAGATAACACACGGTGACATTCATGTGGTGAGAATATTGTGTGAAAAGATTAAGTATTTCTCTGTCATCTCCTCCCTCCGACATGAGATCATCCAAGACAAGAATACCCCCTCGTTTATCTCCAAACCATGTTATTAAATCGTCGTGGGTAGGCACTTCTTTCAAAAATTCTATGCCATGGCGTTGCATGTCGTCAAACTTATTTTTCCAGGATCCCAAACAGTAATGCACGCGGGGCGATCTTTCGTCAAAGAGGTCTAAATTTTCTAAAAGCAGGTCATGGAGAAAGGTGGTTTTTCCACAACTTGTAAGGCCCACAATCAAAATATTGGAAGGGGATTTGAACGAGAATCCTGGTTCCACACACTTGAACATGATTGCTAAAAGCGAGTTACACAAAAATGACACGATTTTATTTCATTCCTTTTATTTTATTAACGATTGAATGATGTCTTCTAACATGTCGCCTACTTTATCATCGTTGCCTATATAATCCTTTTTAGAAAACATGGAAAAAAACTCATCCATACTCAAGCGTCTTGCTTTACACATTAAATAAATGATGGCATAATTTCCACAACTTGCAGTTTTTACAGATTGTATACTCGAGTATTTTTAGGCACGTAAGGCCATCGGTTTAACCATACAATGAATGATGTCAGAAACTCATAGGTGGTTAAATCTAAACCATAACTATCTAAAATTTTACAGCTATCATGTTCGGTCCACACAGCTATCCAGTGTTCTTCAGGTTTGTCTGCAGGGTGGGTATTGACAATGTAAGCTCTCGGTTTCACACGTTCAGGCGACTCGGGTAGTTCGTCACAGGCTAAAGCACTCACAAAGTACTTGCAGAGTTCTGGATCGCTATCCGCTAAAGCGTTGAGTTGATTTGTAGTAAGCCACACAAACTCCATCACACACTTCCATGGTAGTAGCTCCTTTAATACCATCAATTTCCATAATGCTTTCATATTCAGCATAAACGATCACCTTTTTCTGACTTGCTTGCCCTGCACAATTAATGTGAATGTTGATGAAGCCTTCATTTTTAGGTAGAAGAACCGGGTCATCGTGTCTTCCATTGGCCACATTGGAAAACGCAAACAGCGTGCAATTTTTTCCATGACCCCAGTCTTTGAATCGCACCATGTTTCCTGCATTTCTGTACAGACAGCCAGTAGCATTCAGAAATCGGTGATAACCCACCAAGTCTTTTTGACCATTAGCCGTGTTGAGTTCCAAAGTCTCGTAAGGGTATTCTTCTCCATTCACAATTTGTTTGATGTATTCCACCCAAAATTTTCCAAAGGCCAAGGGGTCTTCGTTGTATTGACCATTGAATGCAGTAGTTTTCAGAATACCAATGATGGCTCTTCGGGGCACCTTTCCATCGAATGGGTTGTTGATTTCTTTAGAAGTGGCCCCATTATCTAGGGGAAACGGATCATGGGATACTTGGTTGGGGATTTGGTCATCATACTCATCATGCTCATGTAGACGGCTGGGTTTAGGGACACAAGACAGAGAAAGGAGGTAAGTTTAATATCCTCTGGGTTGACTCGGACTTCCTCATCGGGTGGATTGGCTTCTCTATTCATGAACAAAGCTGCTGGATTCAGATAAAATTCTAATTCCAACAGAGTTTTGGGGAAGATCCATTTTCCTTGGTGAAACGCGTCTATGAACGGTTTCATTCTCAAGATTCTCCTCTTTCCTCCTGTATAGTAATCTCTTGCATCTGCTCTCTGTTTCTTGATGCTGTCTTGATGATTTGTAGAAAGAGCTGTATACGCGGCATCGTCCATCTTGACATTTGCAGCGGTGTAGGTTACAGGAGAATCAATTTCGTTCCGCCATCCAGCTGGTTCGAGTATCGTCTCTCCATCATTCCTGTCATAATTAAGGATCGTCTGTATGAAAGCTTTAAGATGGTACATGTCTACTTGTTGGTGAGTAGGGTGCCATTGGCTCTGAAATTGATTTGCTTGAAGAGGGTGTGTGCAATATTGTTGGCTGGTGAATTCATCACACCCACATCGTTTGCGCATGCTGTGAGATTGGCATTTTCTGTGGTTTTGAAACCCAAATCCAGTTGGACAAAACTTCTCGAAAAATCGATGAGATCTGATTGTCGTTCCACGTACACTTGGATAGGAGTAATACCAGAAGTCTGAGGTGGTATTTTGGCATATTGGTACTTTACCGTAGAAAGATCTGTAGGTGGTATTCTAAAGAGATCTAGACTTGAATTCTGCTCTGCCCCTTTGATAGACGTGGTGATTTGTCTTTTTTCAACGTCTTCTGCGTTTATGCACACGTCGTCGCGTTCCTATTTTCTTTATACGACTTGTGAGAAATCCTCCTCGTTGTTGTTGTTTTCTTTTTCTCCCTTTATACTTCTTTATATGGAAGACACAGGATCCGTCGGTGATGCTGTGCCTACACCAATGATAGGATCACTTTGACGTACGGTGCTGATGTGGACCATGTTTTATTCTCCAAAAATATCGTTCAACCTCTTGGCAACTTTCTCTTTAATTCGTTCTTAAGCGCTTGGGAAGCCCCTCTCTTTATACCTCGCGGCACTTCTGATAACGAACGCTTTTTGACACTGCTTTTAAGGCCTCCTGCTACACCTTTCACAAAATCTTTAGCCATGTCTTTGACTCCGGCACCTATTTGAGGATCATCCCAGGATCCGATAAAAGGCGGTGGGGCATAAGGTGAGGGGGTCTGCCAGCGCATGAGACCAGCACCTCCTTGTTCATTTGGCACATACACTTTAAAGCGTTTCAAACTTCCTCCTCTCATGATGCGATCACCACAAACACACAATTCACTTTAAATCTTTTTTATTAATCCAACTGTTATATTTGCTAGGGTACCCTTTCCACTTGACAAACAATTTACCCTTTTGTCCCTTTAATACTTTTTCCACTCGAAAATAAGTCGCTTCATCTACATGTACTTTTTGCAAATCCCACACATAAAATGTGCCTTGTAAGGGCGTGTCGTGTATAGGTCGTTATCATTCCGGGTACGACTTTACGAACTTGAAACACTTCTTCCGTCCATCCTGGTAGATACCCTCTCTTAAACGGTCTAAATTTTTTATTCAATCGGACTTTATCGCCTACTTTAAATGCAGGCTTTTTTTTTTTCTTAGTCTGATATTTCCCATACAAATTGTCCCACACTTCTCTGGCATTGAATGTGGTGACTTTAGCTGGTGTGGTTTTAATACTCCTGTGATAGGTGCGATTGTATTGATTGACAAGTTTGGGCAATATGTCTACATATTTGAGTGTGTTGGCAGCCGTGAAATAGCGATACAATTTCGATTTAAGGGTTCTATTAAATTCTTCGACGATAGTGGCTTTGGCATCTCCATGAGTAGAAAAGTGACGAATCTCCTGTGTTTTCATCAATGTTTGAAGGGTCTGATTGTAAAATTCTTTGCCTTCATCTGTCTGTAACGTCTGAGGTTTCCTTCCTTTGGCTTCCTTGAGTAATTTTGCAAACGCATCTGTCACATCTTTTCCTGTTTTCTTTTTAATCGGCTGGGCCCACACGTATTTTGGAAAAGGCATCGATCACGACCAATACGTATCGGTATCCCTTGTTCTGTTTGGATAGGGTCTGTACTTTGATCAAATCTGCTACCCATTGTTGATCAATGTCGAGCACCACCACAGGTAAAAGTTCTCCTCGTCAACGTCTGGGTTTGTGAAGCGTGTACGCCAATTTTTTCTCTAATTCTTTTTTACCTTGAGCAATGGAGATCTTTTGAGCTTTGGCATACGGTAATTGGCTTATGTGCTGCTAAATTACATTTTTTTTTTGCTCTATAACACAGAAAAAAGTTTTTTGCCCTCTTTCAGCTAGTCGCGCTGAGTTTTGCTGAAAACATCACTTCTAGTTTTCATGTTTTCATTTTTTTACAGTTGAAATGGGCCATTTTGGGTTTTATCCCACCAAAGACGTGTTTGCCTTTTGTTGCTAAACTACACAATATTTTACGTATTGAACCGAGAATAAGTCACTGTATTTGGCCAAATAACCCTGTTTTCAGGTTTATCGCACGTTTTTTCATTTTTTTGCCACTGAATTAAGTTGTTTTTAGCCTTATGACACTAAAAAAAGGTCTTCTAGCCGTTTGCAGCTAAGCAAGCTAAATTTAGTTTTATTTCACTCAGAATAAAGTTTCTGCTTTTTTAGGCCAGATCATCTCGCCTCTTTCCTACTAAGTCACGCTGGTTTTAGCCTAATATCACCGAAAAAAAATGTCTGGGTTGTTGCACCTAATCATGTTCATTTCAGCTTAACCTTACTCAAAACGTTGTTTCTGTGTACCGAAAACGTATTCCTTTGTTTGCAGCCTAATTTGAGTGTTTAACCCTCCTCTCACGGAAAACGTTTTTGCTTTTGGTTGCTGAATTATCCCGCTCTCAGCTGTAACGCACCAAAATGTCTTTTCGCTTCTTTGCTG